AAGACCGCTCCTGACAGATGCAAGAAAGCCTCTCCGTAAGAGGGCAGCTTTCGCTGGGGAAGACGAGTGCTTTTGGCAGGGGAGGGCTTTCGGCGTGCCGGTGAGCCCCCCCGGCCCCGTGGGCGGCGGGGGCGTCAGGTGGGCGAGCGTGGCGATCCTCGAAAACTTCTGCCCCTCCGAGTCGGAGACGGCTTACGTACTTGTAGCAGACGGGTGGTCTCCAGTCTGTGAAGGCTGCTCCCGTCCTCGTGGCTAAAGAGGGATGACTTTATTCACTAGCGAGTCGTTTAAAGTCTATGATCTTCACACCGCTGTCAAAAAGAAATATAAAAGTTAGTTAGAGAAGGTGTTTTGTACAGTGAATTCTAAGTGATTAAATTCTTAAAGATTGACTTGGTAAGAAAACTCGTTTCAGCCTAGCCCCGGTAGGAGCGGTGCGTGTGCGTCGGGAGCAGCAGTGCCTAGGCACCGGTCCTCGCTGCTGCTTCCCTTCCTGGGCTCCACGCACTTAAGGCACGGGTTGTTTTACCCGCTGCGTGCGTAGCTTCCCTGCTGTGTTTCTCTTAGGTGGCTGAAGAAGTATAATTTTTTGCATCCCATTTTTGGTATGAAAACTTCTGCCTACAAATTTGGCACTTTGGAAAATATTCTGTACGTTTTAATTTGAAGTACACAAATGGGCACTTCCTGGAAAGAAAAGAAAACAGAATATGGAAATGTGGTGAAATTACTTTAATTTCAATATTTGAAAAAATATTTAGTTTTTTGTTTGGATTCTGTAAAAAGTAATAAACGTTTCATTAGAAGTATTTATAGTGGCCTTGTACATTTAGAAAGCCAGTTGTGATGACGTATGGGGTGTTAGAAAACTCCTGAAACCATCGTTAGGTTCTGAAGACTATTCAGTGACGGCAAAAATACAAATTCAGTTTTCTAAAAAAAAAAAAAAAAAAAAAAAAAAAAAATTTGTGGACAAATTGAACGTTTGTAGAAAATCTTTGCTTGCTAAATATTCCTCCCATCTCAGATTTTGTGCCGTTTACTTGCTTATTTCAATATTTTGCATTTTGTAGATTGGAAAATGGCAAGTTTTGTTTTTCCTAATTTGAATGTTCTTGGATTCTTTTGTGCCTGTGATTTTGCTCTGACAGAATTACTCTGCCCCCTGGTTTGCACGCGGCTTGTTTTATTTACAGTGCTGAACAGCACGCTCTAACTTTGCGCGACGGAAAGAGCGCATGCAGGCACCGCAGGGGCACTTATATAAATATATATACACCTAACTCTGTTATTATCTCACCTTAAACAGTCAAAGTCTGATATTACTTTACTTTGAATAAAATGCCAGGAGTGGAAGGGCTGTTTAGGAAATTCCCGAGTGGCTCTGCAGTCACTTTCAGGACAGCAAAATCTCTTTGCGTCTTTGTCTTGGTGAACCTTAGTAAAGAACAGAAGCCCATGGACCTGTGTGGTAGTTGCTGGGCATAAATGAAAATAAGTTTTGCAGAGCTAGGAATATATAACTGAGGCTTTCAGGAAAAATGAACAACAAATTTCAGGCTTATCCTCACTTCTTTCTTGATGTGTAGCATTCAGAATATTGGCCAGGAATTGTAATTCCTTAGTGCAGCATGATTTTGGCCCAAAAAATGACATTCTGTGGTGTCTTACCACAAGTAGGACCAAATGGCTGCGTTTAAGTCCAGTCACTGTAATGATACGCTTCCAGGGAGCTGCAATTTTTTGTGAATTTACACTGGAGCGTAGAGCCTGGTGCAGCTGTCTGCCTGTTGTTTGGGCTCGGGATATGAAACCCTTCAGTGAGGATATCCTGCACGTTTTAGGGAGATGCAGTTTTAATAGCTTGCTCTAAGAAGAAGTGGCAAATTTACTGCCATAGTAATAACAGGTTGATAACGTTCTTTCTCAAAACTGTTGTTTTCCTGAACAGTTTGTTTTAATGAGTAGTGTCTGATTTCCACAAAGGAAATTGTCACTAAGACCCAACGTACTTCAGCAGAAAATGGAAGTGTGTTGGTGTGTTGCCTTGTTCTCGTTTGGATGCCTCATTTCCCTTTTGCTCTATAGATGTGGTCTTCAGCCAGGTGCCATGGCGCGCGGTGCGTTACGCCACCCCCTTTCCCTGCCCAGGAGATGTTGCAGTAGATCGCGCTGTGAGCTGAGCAGGTCCCTCTCCAGGCACGGCTCACGTGAGGCCTAACTGCCTTCCCCTTGATGCTGGGTTATGCAATGGCAATCCTGGTTTTCTTCTGGAGATCTGTAAATTTCTTTGAACTAATAGGGACCTTTTAGCTAAAACATGGGAGGCAGAAAAATGAGGAGTCCCAGCGCCACTCGGAAAGATTATCAGTGACAGATGCAGCAAGGACAAACTCCCTGCAGCTTCTGATCGCTCTTCCTCTTCAGAGATGCTTGTACTTTTTTGGAAGAATCCCTTCCTTCCTTTCCACTTCCGTTGCATTTTTTGGGGAGAAGGATGTTTGCCAAGCTGCTTTCTGTGCTTCCTACATGCTTTTCCGTGACTGCTTCTCAGTAGCCAGGCTGCCTCTTTTTGCCTGCTCCTTGCTGCTATTTAGTGAAATTCATGCCCCCTGCCTTCATCAGCAAAAGGGAAGCAGAATTTATTTCCTTAAGCAAAATTTTCAGCTTGAGGGACTAGCTCTTTGAATTACAGTTTTTGAGGAAGCTCATCATTTTCTAGAGAGTGAGGATATAGCAGAGTTTAAATAGCAGCCTTATTCTAAACACTTTATGTACATATTGGGTATTGAATAAATTTACCTTACGAAAGCATCGAGAAGCTCCAAGAGGAATTTAATAGCATATGCAGTATATATAGTAGTGATATGCATGTATCATGCAGGATAAGAAGTTTCCAAGAAATTATGTGGGTAAAGCGCGGGTGCTGCCCGAGAGAGGTACCAAATTGCTGCTGAGAGGCACCAGAAAGAACGGCGTGACTATGCCCCTCTCCTGCTTGCCGCCTTCTGGCGGTGTTTTTAAATGTTTTGCCTGTGAGGTATGTTCTCTAAGAAAAAATTCTGCCTGTTGGGAAACGTGCATAGCGGCGTGGTTATTAGTTCCTTTCGCTAAGCCGGGTGAGAAGAAGCAGTAGCTCTGCTCAGACAAGGAAGAAGGTATGTCAGAGCCTGTCACGCACGCGTTTAGCGATGGCTGCAGTGCTGCAGCCTGCGTAGCTCCCGGGAGGACGCGGCTGACCCTAACACGCCTTACGCGCTGAGCCCGTCGTCCTTCGGAAATCAGCTGGTACTGCAGGACTCGCGAATCCCGCTGACTATGCCGAAGGAGCCGAGGCTTCGGGCGTGCGTGGCTGGCGCTGCCCTCCTGCACGCGCTCCCAGGGGAACCTGGTGCGCTGCTTCCTGTGGCCGCGTAGGACACTGCTGCCTCTGCTCTGAGTGCAGCATAAAAACGTAGCAAATAATACTGGTAGAAGGTTCTTGCTTCATCTGAAGCATAAACCAGAACTGCAGGAACAACTCTTCCCCAAATCCATAATGTTTATTGAAAAAACACCTTTTATATCAATTTCTGATAGATTCTTCTAGAAAGCACTGATGTCTAGTTTTCTTGGAGAAATCTTTTCTCCATACAAAGCCACTTAACTTATTTCAGCACACCGATGGAAAGTTTTTATTTTGTTAATGTTCTTTGTTGCAAAAACTGGGAAGCCTTCATAAGGGACAATTTTGAGGATATTAAGCATTCAGATTGTTCAGAATAAATGGGATAACAGAGACGAAAAATGAGAACGATGGCAGAAAAATAAAATCAGAACTGCTCGGTCCGTTTGTGGAGATCAAACGTGAATGGGCACATGGCCCAGGAGCACCCAGCCTGGCGGTCACCGTGAGCGTCACAGCCGCCTTCTGTAGGGACGCGGCTGCAGGAGGCAGCCGGCAGGTTTCGTTTTGATTATTTGTGAGATTAGGAAGTAACAGTTATCACTGAAGATAAACGATCAGTATTAATCAGCTGCAGTCAAGAGTCTGATTAAAAAACTGAATGTAATATTAGTCAAAATTTAGGTTTCTCTTCTTCTATTCGTCAATGTAAGATCTAAGTAATTAGTAGTTGTCAGGGAAGCTTGCTTTTTCTCATTAGCTGTACATTGAGGATAGAGAAGGAAACTGGTGATTGCATCGTTCTTTTGATAAGATACTACTTTAGAATAAATATCATAATTATTTATATACTTAGGATGTTTCTTTTCTTATCATTTAGTATTTCCTAGAAAGGACTTCTTTATCTTGTTTGAGTGCTTGTATGATATGATTTTCCTTAAAATTCAAATGTTATCAATGTGATAATGTCACATTTTGAGGACTAATAAGATACAGACGTAATAATGAGTTGACCATACAAATATTGCTCAAAACTAATCTCTAATCTTCTATAGTAGATATTCTAACTAGGTTGCGATGCTATATTTTTCAGGATGGATTTGGTTTTTATTATTCACTCTAGCATGAAGAACATTTCTTTTAGAGATGGAATTATAGTATCACATGTCTGACAGCTAAGAGTAAAGTAAACATAAAAAAGTCAGTTAGAAAGGCTTTAATTTACAAGTGCCTCAGATAATCTCAGTAGTTATACAAGTGTTTCCCAAACTTTTTATGTTAGCAAAATCTCATGGAGAATCTGATAGTGAGCTTTGTGACCTTAGTGTAAATATCATGAGAATAATAATTTACTGTCATTTGTAGTTACAATCAAAAACTGAGAGTGAAAAATTTTTTTTTCTTTTTTTATAGTGTTAGAAAGCAAGTAGATATATATTCAGATCCATATAGAGATGAAACCTCACACCTGAGCATACATAAAACTCTGGTGTGTTGCATTTTTAAAAAAATGTTCCTTGCTGATGAAACGCCAAAAATTCAGGAACCCTATTGGTGAAGTACAAAACCAACATTCGCATATTAAAAGTGGGCTTTTTGCTATCTTGTTTTACAGCTGTCATTTCTCGAAGCCAGGAAGGACCTGGAGAGATGGGCAAGGCTGTTCTCATTCCTAAAGATGACCAGGAGAAAATGAAAGAGCTGTTTAAAATCAACCAGTTTAATCTTATGGCCAGTGACTTGATTGCGCTTAACAGGAGCTTGCCCGACGTGCGACTGGAAGGGTGAGTGTCCAAGGTATCGTATCGCGCTGGGCACGCAGGGCTGTGCTGCGCCGCACGAGGGGCTGCCACCGCCGCCTTTCAGCTCCTGGCTGACTTCAGGGCATGATATGTAGCATCGTCTCAAGGTTAATTAATGGGTGCTGCTATCAGTGGTGACCTACCGAAGCTATTTGAAAACGATAGGGTTTAATTATGTATTAAATCTGTGCAGATGTACTGTGTATGAGCGCAGAGCTCTGTGCCAACAGCTGTGGAAGAGGTGTGTAGGTGTGTATGTGCATGGAGAATTAGACTTCTCTGATTTTCTAGAACAAATTTCTTGTATTTTTTTTTTTATCACTGTCAACAGACAAGTGTGATGTATTGGGAAATCTGTACTGCTTTTGGTTGCCAGTTTTTGTCCCCACAGGAAAAAGCGATCCTACTAATAATTCTTCTTGGACCAAGCTGCATGAGGTCCTAACAGGTGCATGCTCAATCATAATTTTTTTTCATAAACTGTTTTAATATAATAAAAGAAAAGGTGCTGATAACTATTTTGTTTTTAATTACTACTTCTAAAATTGACTTTCAATACAAACTTTTTTTAACTAAAAAAGTTACTGCATTACACGTGTTAGTACCCTATGCAATTTATATTGCGAGTTGCTGGAAATTGTCAAGGTATAGCAATCAGTTCACATCATGGCACATAACCAAATGACATCTGGTCTGTTTTTTCAGGGAAAGCTGTTCATTTTTAAGTTTTTAAAATAATGAAATTTTGTAATTATGCTGTCAGCACTTAAACTTTGACATTTTAATGCTGATAAAAAGAAAACACTATTAAAACTAGCTTACAGTGTGTAGATTTGTTTGAATTTTATCCATAGACTTTTCTTGAATAATCAGGATTTTATGCAACATTTTTCAGAATGGTTTGCAGTGATAAAAATCTGAAAGGTTTGATTTTTTTTTTCTTTTTTTTGAAGTCTTAGTCATTTATAATCATCATCTTTGAGTGGAACCTCAAGTCTGTAGTGGCTTTGAGACTGTGTAAGTGTTTGAAGGAGTGTTTCCTTACATAATAAAGTTGGATTATTTTTAGTGGAATTACAAATGAAATTTTTGCAATCACAGCAGTGTGCTTGTTTCTAGATATGTATTTGATGTGAAACTGCAAACATGCATGTTTATCTTCATTTAAATAGGCATTCCGATTGTTATCTAAAGATCCTGTAACAAGTTATGGTACTAAAATAAAGGTACTATTCTCTTGTAGACTGACTGCTAAAAACCAATACATACATGTAGAAGGTTCAGGGAAACAGTGAGAGTAGAAATATAGAGTATCTAACATCTGTGACACTGGGGAGAAGACTGGGAGGAGAATTTCCTCCTGTCTGCCAGTGACGGAGTTAAAGCTAACGTATGAAGCAGAATACCAAGCCCTTTGTATTTTAACTTGAAAACTTTGGATAAAGTGGCATCCTCCTAAGAATCCTTAACTGAAATTACATGGAGGGGGGACTGTCTCTAAGTACGTACTTAGAGAGAATTTTTTCTTCGGTTCAGCGTTAGAGAAACTTAAATACAAAAGTCAATAAGTACTTCCAGTTCATTTTTTTGCCCTATTCTCCTTTAGCTACGTAAATAGTCTGATAATTATATGTTTACACATTAATAAAGCATTAAATCAAAATACTCTCTTAAATGGCTCCTGTTGCATTCAGATCTCACTGCTTTTGACCTTTCCGTTTTGAGCTTTCTGTTTCTCTAGGGATACTTTTGAAGGTGACCTCTCTCTCTGACTCTTGGATAGTTTTGCCTCCCCTCTCGGTGCTGCTGCTTAAACAAAAATGAAGTTTGTTGCAGTTAGGAATTGCAGTTATGAATATTGATGCCTATTCTTGATTGACTGGCATGTATTAAATAGCTTTTCTTTCTACAAAGCATACTAAAAGCTAAATAAAACAACCTATCCGTTAACATATGGGGCACATGACACGTATTTCTCAGTATGATGCAGGAATTAAAAGATTTGAGAGCCTACAAGGAAGCTGCTCGTTGCGTACCTGAGAAAGCTTGTCCGAATAGCGCGTGTGTCTCAAGGATCATCTATTTGCAACTGCGCAGAGATCAGTTGTGTTATTCTGTCTTCTCTAGTGTCTCGGTTCTGCCTTAACACTCATTATTCAAACTGATTGGCTCAAGCTTACAATACAAATAATTTAATGACTGACTTTTGGAAATTTTGAATATATGCTCAGGAACTGATTTATTCACATGAACATTTTCAGGATTTATGAAAACTACAGCATATAAATCACTAGCTATAGCCATAAATCACTAAAAATACTATATATTTCATTTCATTTTAAAATGTCACCTTAAGCATAATATTGTATCCTACTATTGAATTATAGTTACTGTAGTTTTTAACAAATATAATTTTAGAGAAATATGAACATAGCTAAATACAAACAAATTGTCAGGTCTTCTAAAATCTCCTGTTATGTTTGCTTTTTAAACTGAATGTCACTTAGGTGAAATCTTGTTTATTTTGTTTGGCTTGAAATTAAGTTCTTCAGTTTCCAGTGAAATTTAAAGTAAATACTTTACAGGATTTTATTTGTAAATACAAGCAAGTGACAGAAGAAAAAGCATTACTCTGACAGTATAGCTTATTCACTAACTACACAGGTAACACAGCTCCAGGGCACGGTGATCAGTAGTTTGGTGATGCCAAAAGTCCATAAAACAACACCTTAGATTATTGCCAGTGAAGATGTATTTCATGAGGTGGAACGAGCAGCCAAGTGTTACTGCTTGCTGCATGTGTTGTCCATCGCCTGCCCTTCTCCAGTGTGCCGAGCAGGGTCCTGGCGGGCCGCCCTTGGCGCGGAAGGCTTCCAGCCAGCATGGGGATCTCCTCATTTTCCTGAGAGAGGAGGAGGACGGGTTTGTAGGTGTTGCAGAGAAGCAAATCTAAGCACAAGACACCCATGTGTGACCAAGGTATGGTGGATTGCAGCCAGTGTCACAGAGGGGTGGAAGGGTTGAGGTTGGCAGGGCCCTCTGGAGATCGTCTAGTCCAACCCCCCTGCTCCAGCAGGGTCACCGAGAGCAGGCTGCCCAGCGCCGTGTCCAGGCGGCTCACGTAGCAGTGTTTGCAGCACTGCTCTGCCCGGCCTGGCCGAAAGCCTCGCAGCGAGGCTGCGTTCTCCCTCCTGCTGTTGGGTGTCTAACTTACTACACCTTTCACATTACAGCTGCAAGCTTTTTCAGAGGCCAGCAAGTTTTCTTTTTGTTGCTTGTGCTATTGTGGCAAAATTAAATCAATAGAAAAGAAGTGTTCTTGCTGGACGTGCGATCTGGGTGGACATTCATAATCATCTATGTACACTTCTGTGTTATAAGTAATCATGAGCTGATAAAAACGTGTGATATCAAGGTATAAGTATGTTACAGCAGTGTATTGGCTTGGGAGCATCTGCATTGAATGCAGCAGGAAACTTGGGGTCATAGAGATGAAACTTTGCTGGAAGATCATCAGGAGAAGATGAACTAATTATAGGATGTAAGAAAAAGGGGAGTAGAAGCTGGGCAAGATAAAAGTGCGGAAAAAAAGTCACTGGCAGAACACTACAGAAAGGGCATCGGCCTAATGGAGCTTGGTATCGCCACTAAGTTATTTGCAGACTGCGCGCAGGGAACGGACCAAGCTGCTCTCCATTTCCATAATGATGTCAGGGGATTAAATGAATGAAGAACATGTACACAAAACTGATTAACTCTTGGCAAGACTTGACCTTTTTATTGCCTCTATCACGTGTCAATGTTTCACTGAGTGTAAGTAAGTGGCATTTGCACTTTTCTCTGAACGTATCCCATGCCATTAAGTTGCATTCGCAGTGCTCGCTGCCTAAGCAAGTGATTAGAGATTCATTTGACACAGGGGCTGTGCGGAGGTCTCTCGGGTGGAGGCGAAGCAGAGTTACTGTCAGGAGCTGGGAGCACCAAGGCGTTATCTGCAGCTTGCGTGTCTGTCTCCTCGTGGCAGATGGAGCAACCTTCAGTCTTTGGCCGGTTTAAGATTGAGACGTTGGAAAAGAGGCTGAATGCCTTTTTCTCAGTGATGTCCTCTCCCTGCTGTCAGTGGTGTCAAGCATAGACTTAAAGCAGGAGATGATGTGTCTCCAGGTATTGACTACCCACACCCTGTTTTTAACAAAAATATAAACTTGGCTTACCCATTTATCTTCTGTTTTGATGGTTGTATGATTTTGAATTAACCCTAAATCATAAAAGTCATTTCCTGGTGAAAATTCTCACTGTCTTTATATCTCTACTAGAATTATTTCGATTTATGTGTTATTATATGTCCATGCAGCTAATGAATGCAAACAGACATAAGAATTCTGATTAGAAACAAACGGAGAACCCGGGAAGAAGGCAGAAGTCTTGTTAATATTTCTCATTTTAGGAACTGGTTCTCTAGTTATGCTACAGTATATTTCTTGGCAAAATCATTGGGAATGGTCTTAGGAAATGGAAAATGAAAGGGAAGTGGTACACACTGAAGTGGTAGCTTTTTCATTGGTGTGGGGTATTTTTTTGCTATGACTCTGTTCCTGCTGTGATCTGACTGGCAAGCTGCTGGTCAAACCAGATAGTCTGCTGAGAAAACCTACTGAGCATACACCAGAATAGTGCCATTATATACAGAGAAAAACCGGGGACATCCCGTTATGCTTATTTTAGACGATGTCTTGGAGAACGTTCATTTATTTCTTGCTTCTCTCCTCATATCTATCAGACTAATCTGTTCTTATTCTGTTCCTGTCCTGGCCTTCCTCGTGTCTTTTCCTTGTTTGATCCTCTCTTTATTTTTTATGCATGCAAACAATTTTATCTCATCCTCTTGATCTGGATGTAGGGTTTTCTCTTGCTTTGCTAAGGCTGCTGCTATCTATGTAGCTGTTTACATGTACTTCTGAAAGTCGATCTAAAATGTACAA